TTGATCTTACACATTCGGTAGGACTCATTGCACGAGTGATCAGCTCGTCGCAGGGCCTCTACCTGTATACAAACACAGAAAAACGCACACACACAAACTAAACATCCATGCCCTGAGTGGGATTCGAACCCACGATCCCGGCTTCCAAGCGAGCGAAGACAGTGCATGCCTTAGGCCGCTCAGCTACCGTGACCGGCTTCTTCGTAAATTACCGAAATTTCATCAAAATTGTTAGGGCTATTTTCGAGGAAACTGCCTCTCGTTTTTTTTTTCTTTTGGAGCCCGTTTTAAGGGCCTCTATTTTTGGAGCTGGGGGACCGGCCTTTGAGGGACATGTTGCTGAATTCGGAATATGAACATCTGCCCTGCCGTTACGCTGCTTGCGAAGCGACACATACATACATACATACATACTGCTGCGTACTAATGTTTCGTACCAATTCGATCTGAGTTTTTGTATAGAAATTGTTGTGTCAGATTAATATAAACCAAAATTACAGTTCTCCTGTGACTTTTAAATGGAGAGCTCACTCGTATTTCAATTCAGATCAGGCCACAAGTTTCCAAGAATAATATACGCACACTCACACACTCACGGACACAGACAGACATGACGTCTAGTGTATCCTTTCACTCTCTGTACGTTGTGCAATGAATATATAAGTTTATTTCTGTTGCTTCATATACTTTCGAAACATACAAAAACTCCGTGGATTTGGTCCGCAAGGGAACTATACCGACCGAGTGACCGCCGCTTCTCGGCGAAGTTAGTGCAAACTTTTGTGGATAGAGTGTGTCACGTGGTCAGCGTAATGAATCCACACAGCCGTTAATTTCGGTTTTCTAGACCGGAACCGCTATTTCCTTGAAATAGCTCCTCAGTTATCCTCACGAAGCTGAGTGAACCCCGTTCGAGACCCACTACTTCTCAGAAAATCTTTGGATCTGTAACCAGGAACTCTGACCACTAGACCACAGAGGCTGTCTACTTTCGAAACATGCTCAAGCAAAATATGGCATTTTAATTCAAAATAGCGTAACTACGTAGCGTTACGGAGTGTCACATAATTAACCAACTTTACGAGCTGAGTCCTTGAGGAGCCGCCAATTGTGCAGCTACTTAAGAACTTTTCAAAATTTTATGGAAACCGAAGGTTCATTACCGTGTTCATAAGAGCCTTCTACTCGTCCCTATCCTGAGCCAGATGACTCCAGTCCATATCACACCATCCTGTCCCTTTAAGATTAATTTAATATTATGCACCACCTACATCTTGGTCTTCCTAGTGGGCTCTTTCCTTCTGGCTTTCCCACCAATATCCTATATGCATTCCTCTTCTTCCTCATTCGTGCTACATGCCTTGACTTGATCATTGGAGTGTCACATAAGAAAAACTAAAACCGACGCTTATATCAGTCTCAAAATAACAATTCCTACTCTTTTTCTTATCAGTATGCTCATATACGGAAGCTTAAAGAAAGGGGAGGGGGTTCATAACCCCTGTCTCTCATCTTCCCCAATTTCTTCCTTCAGGCATTTTGTCATTTTTAACCTGTGATGTTTTTTCCTGAAGAAAATGTAGTTTGTTCTACCCTTCATTGTGTACTTTCTTGAAAGCTGAAGGTTTAACTGGATTTTCAAGCAGTTACATGTAAAAATCTCTACTTTTTGGAATTCCAAGTCGTGCATTATCTGGTATCTGTTCACGAGAAACCTGTTGCCTCCCTCTTCAGAACCGAAGAGTAATCCTCGAAGGGCCAAAGGTGAGTGATACGGGTAAAGGGGAGAAGAACGGGAGTTAGAGCGAGCCAATTCAGTTGCCACTGTCCACATAATTTTTGTTCTTATTCCCAGCCCTCTTCTGCGCTCTTTACTCTTTACCCTGAAGATGGAGGCAGCAAATTCCTCGTAAGACGTCGGTAAACATCAGACTAGATAGAGTCACGTGCCACTTCATAATCACCGCTGTGAGAACTTCAGATATCACTTACATAACTTATTTAATCAAGGAGTTTCTGCAGAAATTATAACACTCACATTCTGGAAATTGCTAGGTTATGTAGCCCCAAATTAAACGTTATGATGGTCACAACTGGTCAGTTTGGAATTTTGTCTTCTGAGTCGGAAATTATACTGGAAGTAATTTGCAGAAATGTTAGCCCAGTTCGACACGAGAAATTAGTAAACTTCATTAGCGGGCAACGTATGGACTGTAGCACAACTTGTCTGCAGCTCACAAGTTCACTAAGCCGTAGCCATGAATGAGTGAGATTTATAGCACAAATTACGAACCAGTACTGTGGACAAAAAGAGGCTTTTATATTTCACATAAATATTTAGGTCAACGAAAACAGTCATATCAATCATTCCAACTTTTCTCGTGATGTATGAAGAGAAATTGCACGGTTGAGGGAAAGTTTCGTATTGCATGAGAACGTTTTGTAAGAGGTTTGGAGTGGTGCCAGATGAAATGCCAACTCCCGTATTTACTCATACAAAACTAACTTAAATATTGTGGCACGTATACCCGTTGCTTGGCAACGACTTCGAGATAAGCAAATATACAACAGGCGTTACTAAGCAACAGAGGAACTGTGTTTCTTTTTCTGTCCGCTAGGCAACAGTTGAACTACTACAGTGAAGAACGGTGTTTTCTACGCGGTCCGTGTCAAGATATTAAAAGCGGGACATATTGGGAGTTGCAGTGCAGAGAGTCAGAAGAGTATGAGGCTGATGTGACATGGACGCCAGCCTGGGAGTTAGTCGGTGCAGTGGAGTGAGTTGTTTGGTGACTGAGTGAGATAGAAGACTGCTGGGGTTCAGTCACTGTGAGAAGCTGATAGCTGAGGCCGGGAACAGAAAATAATGAGATGACTTAACTTAGAAGATCCATATTGTGACGTATTGCTCTATGCAGGACACCCCCTCCCCAGCCAGCGGTGACGTAACAACATCGGAGCGCTGTCGCTGCTATGGTAACAAGCCAGTCAACAAAATATTGTAATACAGACATGTAGTCGATCGGTTCTCAGAAACAGAGAACCTGGTTCAGGCCCATGTGACGTTATATGAGATTTCTGGTCGATGAACTGGCATTGGAACAGATTTTTCTTACAGCTTCCCGAGTTTTCCCCTACAAATCATTCAATCATTGCTCCATATTCATCACCGTCCCCCCGAGGTATGTTGTAGACCTGATCACGCAGTGCATTATCACATCCTTGGTACTTAAGGTTTTGACTTCATCTCTCTGGTTTGGCACTTGGCTGGATACAGAGTAAGGAAGTTATTTATTTTTAATTTTTTAAAAATATAATTCCTTTGTTTCGATGTTATCATATGAAGATAATGAAATAATTTGTGACCTCTACAGTTATTGTGGACATGCTAGTGTACTTCGCAGCGGAACATTGGGTACAGAGCCCAGGTCAAAGGACTTCATTACGATAAATTCAACGAATTAAAAGAGCAGTGAAAAGCCATAGTTTCTCATCTTGAATTATCATTCAGTTCCAGAGAACTTAAATGTATCATAACTGTACGTTGAAGTAAATCATCAATCATGGACCTTGTCTGTGTTTTAAGCGTACAATTAGTTATCACATACCGAGAGATAGGCAGCAAGTAATAACACGCCACGGGTTGCCATCACATCAATCACACTGTGTGCGGGATACCATTATCTCTTTGCATATCCATCACAACACCCCACTTCTGCCACCAAACTATTTACCAAGAAAAACATTTCACTTCAGCAGGCCCACAAGGTCAGAGAGACTTATTTTCGAAATAAGATATTTGTGATTTCATGCGTCGCTTTCAGCGTCGAGTTCATTTGACGCAGATAAAACGTATAGTTGCAAACGCAACTATACGCCCCATAACCCATTACTTCGTTTCACGGTTGTAATGTGTAAAAGACTCACTATACAATACTATCTAT